CTGCCTTTGTGTGTGTGTGTGTTTTATATATGGTGACGGAGACACTTTTGTAAATTCCTTGATTAAAAAATAACTACTTGACCAGACTGAATAACAAAAGTCCCTTCTTTACTTATCTCTGAATGAAAATCTAATCTGGAATGCCTCTCTTGACATTCAGGAGGCAGATGTTCATTTCCAAGAATCAGCATAAGAGCGTTGAAAAAATACTTAAAGTGTACAGGGAAAAAATGCAGATAGCAGAGAGTGAGTAATCCAATTCGAAATGAGAACTTCCAGGGAGTTCCATGTGACTCAGAAAAATAGGTGAAATTTGCAGCCTATTTCTAAATCACAGGAGCAGAATTGCTTCTGAAATAATATGCATTCCATAGTCCATTCAGATGTATTACTATGATGATATAATGATGACAAATGCTGTATGTCAGTATAGTTCCATATGTGCTATTTGGTTGTTTTTCAGTTGTAGGAAGCTACATTTAAAAAAAAAAAAATTAAAATAAGCGTGCAAAGTCAAACACTCAAAAGTTAGGAATAGATTGCCTGTGCAGCCTTAATTTGGCCTCCTTGTGTTTGTGCTATGAAACAATCTTTAATTACATGATCACAAGTTATTTTTTCCACAGGACCCTTGCCTTCCTCAGTGCACAGGATGGACGATTCTCCTGGAATGAAGCTGTTGTCTGTAGGATCCCTACCTCATTTGTTGCAGAAGTTGGAAGGTGTGTAGTAAATGAGGCAGAGGATTGCAGGAGGAGAAAGAACAGTGTCATGATTAAGGCAGCTGAATGCTGCCCTGCAGCACTGGATTCTATCCCTGTCTCTGCCACAGAGTTCCTCTGTGATTCTGGCCAAGTCACTTAAACCAAACTTTTCACTGGTGGCCATTAATTGTGTTCCTCATTTTCTGGGTGCCTGGCTTGATACCCTGGGGTCTGATTTACAGATGAGCTGAGCATTATCAGCTGTAGCTTAAGTTAATGGGAGCTATGATTTGAACATGTAATGTGCTATATAATGCTAAGTACTCTGAAAAATCAAGGCCTAAGTTTTTTCCAGGGGGGCACCAAAAATGTTGGATATCTTTGACCATTTCAGCCTAAAACTCTGTGCTTCAGTTTCCCATCCATAAAATGGGGGTGGTAATACCCCTAGGGTCACTGAAAAGTTGTAAAGATAATTTCATTCATCTTTGTGAAGAGTTCAGGTGCTCTGGTGAGAGCACCATAGAAATGCCCACAAGGAAACTAATAATTTTGTATTCAATACAGGGTTTGGATGATGTGCATGAAATAAGGCCTAAGGCCACACATTGAACAAGGAGGATAAAAAGAAATATTAAATAACCCCCCCATTCACAGCATAAAGAGGAAATCTTGTGGAAAAAAATAGCATGTGATCCTGTAATTAAAGACTGTATCATAATGCGTACACGCAAGGGGACTGAATTAAGGTTGCAAGTGAAACCTTTAATCTGGCACTTCCTAACGTGTGTTTGGAACCTTAATGTTCTTTAACATTGATTTTAAAAAATGTAATTTACTACGGATGGGCATCATGGGCTAATAAAATTAATACAGGATAGGGAGTCAGGAACCCTTGAGTTGTAATCTTATCTCTGCCACTGACTGGCTGTTTGGTGAGCAGATTACTTTCCCTCTCTGTGCCTCAGATCTCCCTCCTGCAAAATGGGTGTTGTGAGGATTAGTTCTCTGTAAAAATACTTTGATGGTGAAAAGAGCTGTGAAAGTGTTTAAATGTTATTGCTACTAACATTTGAAAGTGTAAGGTATGCATGTCCCCCTCCAGGGCTCTAGAATCAAACCATGCCCATGGACTACAGGTGGTTTTGAATGTCCTTTTGCTGGGCTTTGGTTGACGAGCTTTGCTTCTTTCTCTTTGTCACAAGGCAGAAGGGAAGAGGTAGGTTAAAAGCATTATAGATTTTGGGTTGGTAATAATGGGCTCAAGTTAGTTTCATCTGAAAGCAGCACGTCTGAAATGCAGAGAATCCCATGAAAATTCAACAGCTTCAAAGTTTGTACAGAGGAATCGGAGGCTGATTTATTTTTTTCATGAGGCCGTTATAGTTCCTAATGAATAGTTCTAGTTTCCACTGAAGTTATAAAGAGCTTCCTTGTTCATCATTTTCCTGCTCTTTCCCTGAGTGGAAATGTTACAAATAGTGATGCTGTGGAGAACAGGAAGGCATATAATGGGGCTGTGAGTGATGAGTAAAGGAAGCTTCATACCCAACATCTTAATGAAGAAATAAAAACTGAAATGTTAAATGCAGGTTGTTTTTAATGGGGGAAATCCAGTGCAGAATCATCAAGAACATTATTCTGTTGCAATACACCTATGATAGTAATGGCTTTTTACAATAGGTGATCTCCAATACCAGCTTGTTGGTTTCTGGTTGATTTTAAGATGACATTGACCTATAAAACTTAAATGATCTGGGATCTACTTAAGTAACAGACCAGTCATACTCAGACCTCAGTGATTCAGGAGCCAAATTAGCGATCAACATTACCCCAAAAAGCCACAATAGTGTAAATTAAACCGTATGAAAGGGATATATAAAATGTTATCAACTACAATTGGTTAATAACGTAGTAAAAGCATTCTGATTGGTTAATAACTTAGATTGGTTAATAATTTAAATCACACAAGGTTTTCATATCATGTGCTGCAAAGAGCCACAGGAGACACATTAAAGAGCCACTTGCGGCTCGAGATCCTCAGTCAGAGTATCACTGTAATAGACCATCGCTATCCCCATGACATACTACTACACTTAGTCAGTCGAGGCACCTTAGATAGAGCCTTGTTGGTATAAAAGAGAGGGGCTACAGGCAGGCTGTTCTTCTTCAGGACTTAGTAAATCGGTTTGTTTATGTATTTTTAAGAGTTTGCCAAGGGCTCCTAGAGTTCAGGAGGGGTACTTTTTTGTTTACTGTAGTATAAACTTAAATGGGAAGTCAATACTGTAGTTGGAGAGTCTTTGCAGGCTAAGTAGCTAATCTGTTGCTATCAATTAGAGCTTGAATGTAAATCAACCTTGCTCCCTACTTGGAGAATACCTGGTTATAAATATGAACTATGCAGGGGAGGAAAATGTAAAAATAATAGAGTGGGAAAGGGTAGATGACTTTGAAGCTTACTGAGAGTATTTCATTTGTTTGCAATCCAGTGACTGTAACCTCTGCATCTGAAATTTTAGTGCTAATAGTCATTAGCACTAAAGTCTCATTTAGAGAGGATAACTGGCTGGGTTTGTGACTGGAGCATTTTACTGGGTGCTGTGCATATGCTCAGGTCTGCAGTTTGAGGTTGTCGGAGAAAACCTACTTCCACAAGGTTATGTGTTCAGATGGTGCAACCACATCTGGAATATATTGCTGGGTGTCCTCATCATAACAAACCAGAGAGAGTTCGGAGAAAAACAACAAAGTGGGAGGATTAGGAGAGTTTGAGAAGATTGATACATAAGGAAATATTGAAAGGATTGAGTACGTGTAGCATGGATGAGTGATGATTAATAAGGGAGATAATGGTCTACAAATATCTAAAGAGTGTAAAAATCAGGAATGGAGAGGAATTATTTGGGATGGCATAAGAGGTATGATTGAGTTAATATCATCCCATTAAGAGAGGCAAAATTTAAGCTAGAGATCCGCAAAAATATATTGACCATTAGATCCACTAAAACTCTAAAATAGTCTCCCAAAGAAAGAGGTGGGAAGTGCCTTTTGCTTGAGAAATTTAAAACTAGACTGGACAAAGCATTAAAAATGCACTGTAGGGAGCAATCCTGTACTAGCAGGGGACCATCTTTTTTCTTGTGTTTCTACAGAACCTAGCACACTCTGGTCCCTAGTTGCTAACGTAATACAAATAATTATTATGAATAATAATATGACCAACTTACTTTTTTCTGATCTCTGTATTTTGTGATTTTGTCATCTGGTGTGTTCTGCTGCATTTTGTGGATTAGCAATTGAAAGATTTCAAATGTAATTATGAGAACAGCGTGACAGCATCCTCATATCTCTTTCCTTTAAAATGTGTCTCATAGTTAGTGTTTGAACTCTTGCCTAGTGTATCTGTGGGCAGTGAAGAACATGGATAATTAGATTACAAAATAGCATTTCTCTATTGGTGTGGGGGATTTTCCTTGCAAAAGATAGATTTTCCAGATAATAGCAGACAAGTCTGTTCTTTGTTTGTCCCTCTTCTCCCCCACCCCATTACCTTCATTTTCTTTACTTCCCCAGTGGTTTTCATTCATCTTCTTTGATCCTGAATCCCTTTAAAAGGTTGGGGAAGATGGAGGTACTAGAGACAGCCAGACTGTTAATATATGTCTGAAGTGAGCTGATGCAAACTACTGTGGGAGGCTGGGTTGCAGTTTTATAAGCAGTCAGTATATATTGTGACTAGTCCAAGACTTTTTGGGTGACTTTTTGAATGCATAAATAGGGAATCTTGAGTAGGAGTACAGAGGTTATTTTACCTCTCTATTTGGCACTGATGGGACTATGCTGATAAATTGGAGAGGGTTCAGAAAAGAGTCACAAGAATGATTAAAGGATCAGTGTTGCTAATTAGGACTAAATACACCAGAACCTCTGCTAGTGTATCAGGCAACTTGACATCTCTCAAGGACCATCCATCTACATTCCATCCCTAAGGCCCCAATTTTTATTTTTATTTTTGCATACAATGTTTAAATTGTGACTAGCATTGGAATCTGCAGGGAGCCACATGCAGCCCTCCAAGACTGCAGAGAGGATCAACAACACATGGAAGGATAAGAGAAAAACAAATCAAGGAGTGAGAGAGAGTGTGTAGGGTGTGGCATCCCCAGAACTCTGAGACAGGAGGGGAGGAGAACCCTACTGTCCCTCTTCCCAGAACATCCAGAATAAAATCTGAAATCCACTGGCTACTCTGCTCCCCCACTACCAAGAGAATGACCTTCTGTTTTGTTTCAGAGCTGGAGAAGGAGCTTACCAGGAGGCCCAAGAAGGTCTGCATTGTTAAAGTGGTGGGAACCAGGAACCTGTGGAAAAACATTGTAGTATTGTGTGTGAACTCGTAAGTCCAACATATTCCTGTCAAGTATGTTGAATGTTTTCTCTGTTGGTAAACTGAAAGTAGATGTGGACGGTGATGGAAATATGGAGGCTCTTCTGCCCCATTACAGGACCCTTAACCCAGTGTCTTAGAGAGCTGATCTTTGATAAGAAGAGTGAGTTCTACCAGAAGAGTGATCTCGTGTAGAAGCTTAAGGAAGTAGTCATCTGACATTTTAAGCTGTGGAGCAAAAAGCATAAGGTGCTTTCTTGGGAATGGTAGCCGTGCAAGTGCATTGTTGTGTCCGTGACCAACTGTATATTTCTGTCTTGCACAAACTTGCTACTCTGGGTAGGATTTTCCGAATGACAAGAGCACAAGTTCATTGACTTTCACATGAATTCCACCCTCCCCTCCCAGTTTCAACAGGACTTGTGCTCCTAAGTCACTTAGGATACATCTACACAGAGTTTTAAAATCATGGTCGTGAGTCTCAGGCCCTGAGTCTACAGACTGGGGCTCATGCCACAGCGCTAAAAACAACTGTGTAGAGGTTTGGACTCAGCTGTAGCTCAGGCTCTGAAACCCGAGGAGAGGAGTGAGCTTTTGAGGCTGAGCTCCAGCCCAAGCTGCAACGTCTGCACTGCTGTTTTCAGCACCGTAGCACAAGCTCCAGTCTGTACACCTGGGCTCTGAGACTCACTGCCACAGGGTTTAAAACACAGTGTAGATGTACCCATAGGTGCTTTTGAAAATCCCACTTTATACCTCAAATGGATAATGTCAAGGAAGCAGATCAATCCGAACTGGTTAATGTCTTTGGTGCATTCGATGGTGTCCTTTTTTAATTTAAACCAAATTGTTCAGTAGTTTCGTGTTGGGTCTTGTAAGTTTCTCTCAAGTGAGAGGTCAAGCTGTAGATTTCCATTATCCTGAATTAAAATTAATGGCTACCAGTTTAATTTGCAGGTCTTAAATTATCTGGGAGGTAGAGGGGAGCAAGTGAGGTGAAAAGTCTAAGGATATTGCCATCTTATCCTGACTTTATTTCAAATAAAGCACAGGGGAAAGGAGAAAATAAGCACATATGGTTGATTTGAATGTAATCAATTGCAGAATTATAACACTGTTTGCATAATTTATCTACAATCTGTTTAACATTTTCTAAAATGTAATGGATTAATTTGGCAAAGGAAGAAGTTGCCTGGCAATAAATACTAAGCTGTGGCCTGTATAGCAGCGGACCATGATGTCCTGAAAATTGGACAAAAAGGACTTCAGTTCCTCCAAATCATTAAAGGGGTATACAGGGAAAGTGCACTTTCTCAAACACAGTAGTGTGACACCTACATTCTCAGGCCTCAATCTGGCAAATATCTACATGAGTGAAGTTAAGCATGTGCTTAAGTGTTTGCAGGATCAGGCCCTGATTGAGAGTTATTTCACACAAAACTGGGAAAGCTTCTCAAGTGTGTAATAAAAGTAAATGTACGGTCTTGAAATCTATTTCAAAATTACCCTAACTACTTTTGAGGGTGGGGAAGGGAACAGGGGAAAGTGAGGGGGCAACGATAGTGGAGTTTCCTAGTATGTCAGTTATATAAAGTGCCCATTTGGATCATCTGTGTGATTTTTAAATTGGAATGGAGTGGTGGTAGTAAGACCAGAAATTGCCTAGAAAAATTATGTGTAGAAATATATGTTCCCTGCCCATAGTTGGAATTTCCACTTGATTTTAGGGCCCCAACCTGTAATCTTCACTCACATGAGACGTTAGTGACCTATGATTATGAATTGCAGCATTGGATCAACTGATCCTGCCTGGGTGAGGCCCATTGACTCTAAAGATCTGTCTGTGCTGAATCAGTTGCCTGTTTAGCGCCTTAATTTACAGTGTCGGTTGGTGAAAGAAGTGGTGGGCTTTTAAGAACCACTGCGGTGGCCTCATGCATTTTGGAGCAATTTTTTTGCTGCTAGACTGAGTTTATAGCTACAGTAATTCAAGTGGATTTATGAACATTGTCTTTGTATGAATTCCCCCCTCAGCCACCCCACTTTTAATTAGACTTGTTTGGAAATTCCCAAGACCAGAATAAAAGCAACACAAAGGATGATTTTTGGGCCATTGTCAGTGGAGAAGTTTTGCATTCTTTGAAGACTGTGAATCAAATTTGTGTTTGTCAGGCAGATCTCAAGTTTATTTTAGGGAAAGAAGAGCCTATTTTTCATTATTATTATTATTATTATTATTATTATTATTATTATTATTCCTCCTGCATCATGTAGTCTGTCCTGAGATTCAGGCAGGTGTGAATTTTGGGAAAAATAAGACATTTCAGGGGAGAAAGAGGAAATTTTTTTCAGAGCACGTTGATTTATTTAAAAAAAAAAAGGCAACTGTTTGAATCTCCTCAGAATTGTAGGATGTTAGAATAAATCCCGGGGATGTGGATTAAAGGGAAGAGCACAGGTAATAAATTGTATAATGAATTCATTTATCTCATGGGCCTTCCGTTTATCACATGGATATCATCTCTGCATATATTTGTGTAATATATTAGTGTTGTCTAGTTGCGTATTAAATAGTGTTTGTAAGATAGCAAGCACCAGAGTTAAGACAGAAAATAAATTATGTACCGATTATTCTGTAGATTTCGGAAGCAAATGAAATTTTGTACAAGAATAAACAACTCTGTGTCCTGTAGTGCATTCTGTCAGTGTAAAACATGTCAATTCTGCAGTTCCAAAAGGTGCACGTTTCTATCTTGGCTTTCACTGTCTGCTATGCACAGGGCTGTCATTCATGTAGCTGTTATAAGTCCCCACTGTTTGTTTATTTAAAAAAACAAAAAAGCTTTCCGTAGTTTGGTTTCCATAAAAATTGTTTCGAAATCCTGAAATTAAGTAGGATAGATGGTGTAACATACTAGCCATTCATTCTGGAGACCTAGGCCCAAATGTGGCTTAATGATGCAGATATGCAGGGCCGTCTCCAGGCACCAGGCACCCAAGCTGGTGCTTGGGGCGGCACCTGGAGGGGGGGCGGCGCGGCGCTCTGGCCGCCGGGGGGAGAGCCAAGCCCCAGCCTGGGCTCGCCGCCCTCTCGCCGCCCTGCCACCGGCGCTCTGGCCGCCGGGGGGAGAGCGGAGCCCCCGCTGGGGCTCCAGCCGCCCCCCCCCGCCCCGGCTCCGGCAAAAAAGGGGCGGCAAAAAAGCCAGAGCCGGCCCTGCAGATATGGAATGAATTTGGCAATATTTAGCCTGCTCCTTAGTTACTGTAGCAGGTCCACATTACCTAAATGCTACAGAATTTGCCACAGATATGAGGCCCTTTTCTGGGAGAGGTGTAGCACTAAAATACACCAGTAGCTCTGTCAGCGCATGAAATGATTTTACATTGCACTAAGGTCTGGCACTATCCAGATGAATCTCACCGCACCCACCATTTATTTTTTTAATAAATATTTGAAACAGAGGAGAAATGGTCAATAGAGGAACCTGTTTTCATGTAAAAAATAAGTGAAAGAAATTGATACTGAAGTATGGCATGAATCACAATTCAAGCCATAGATTTTCTGTTTCATAACAGTCATAGTAACAAATTAAATACAGGTTCAGTATGTCACTTTAAATATTCATTTTAAAAGTTATTTTGGCAGCAGCACTACCTTGGGGAGTGAAGTTACTATCTGTGGTGTGATCTGTTTTGTATTAAGCTTCCTTGCTGCCCAGCCATACAGCCCTTCTTCATAAAACTGATCACAGCAGAACTCATTCTAAAGGCCATGGGTCGGATGTTAGATCGTAACAGACGTCTATTAAATTAATCTGAAGGCAGCTTCTGATTGGTTTTCATGACTGATTTCAGGTTGCTTCCAATCACATAATAAAAATGTAATCTCACATGGCTTGATTTGGGAACTGCTGTGGCTTAGCACCTATTAGAATCAGGTCAGTTGATCACAAGTCTTTTGGTTTGGTCAATTTTTGATCATTGTTTATTTGTATTACAGTAGAACCTTGAGGCCTCAAAGGAGATCCAGCCCCCAGTGGGCTCGGTGTTGTATAGGCTTAGTAAGAGAAATCCCTGCCTCAAAGCGTTTGTTTTTCCCTTTTCTTTCCAGCTCCTTGTTGCATTGCAATATTTGCCTGCCTGTTCAGAAGTGGTCTCCCATTGTCACTTTCTGTCTCCTCTAGGCTGACCGGGTTTGGGATACATCACTGCTTTGCAAAAAGCATGATGGGTCATGAAATGAAGAACTCGAACCCCCACCATTTCTATACAGACTACTATACCATGGCAGGGATTGCCCTGGCCTCCTGCCTGGCTATGTGCCCGGTCGTTGGGTTTCTAGGGCGAAGAGGGGGACTGCTGCTGTTCATGATTCTCACAGCTCTGGCATCGCTTCTACAGTTAGGCCTTCTCAACTGTAAGTGACTTGCACCTCGATACTGGTCAGAGAGCGTTACCTTGCAAAGCTGCCTGAGGCTGTTCTCAACTGACATATGGAAAAACACCTGTCTGTTGCAGAACAGAAGAGCAGTAGATTAGCTCTCTGTGGATGGTGCAGATTCACATGCTGTACAATCCCATTGAAAGCAATAGGGAATGTAAGTCACTGTAGATTTGGACCCATTCTCTATACATATTCAAGTACAATGAAACTCTTTTGTTCTCCCTCCAATTTCCCCTTTATTCTTTCAGTTCATTGTTCTAGGTGCAGGGATTTATTCCTGTAGCAGAGCTCAGAGCTAGTCACCCACGCTGAGAAGAGTTAAAAACAGAGTGCATTTCAATCTCTGATGATGTGTCAAAATTGATTGTCTGGGTTTTAAAAGGAAAAAAAAAATTTTTTTTGTGGTCTTAAGAGAATGCGTGGAAATGGCATACAATTTTTACCAGATTTTTTTTTTTCTCCAAGGAGGCTCTAAAGGAAATTGGTTTCCCATTCTTGGTTCCCTCCTCTTTCTTAGATTTTCTGACCTGCAATGAGCCTGCTTAGGAAGTTGAATTGATTGATGGCAGAGTCCCAAAATTTCCATCCTCTTATAATTGCAAAAGAGGCAGTCTCTAGCAGAGACAAGAACAGTGAATACCAGGTCTGTGGGTTGATGCTGGGTGGGTTCAGGTTGTTTCTGGTTTTGCCACTCTTACAAAACTAGTAAAAAAAAAAAAAAAAAAAAAAAAATGTGTGTCTGAACATCTGTCAAATTGCCTTTTGGAGAAAAAGCCAGAGGGGAACATGTCTCACTACTATGAAGTTATTGGGAGCAGACCCACCCAAACTGGAGGTGTGTTCTCTATCTCCTCCCTCCCCCTTGGTAAATTTGTGTGGCCACACATTGGCCATACACAGGTAGCAGTGTAATTAAGACATATGTATAGCATATGCATGTGTCTAAGTAATTACTGTCACACTGCCTGCTATGGAACACAGCTAAGAACACCAATCTCAGGTCAGACTGCCAGAATACAGGGCATATACCCCAGACTGGTAGTTTAGTCTATCATAAGACTTCATCAAGCCAGTAACAAAAATGTGCTTCCAAAATACTGTACTACTTATTATGAAGCCAAAGATAGTTCTCTTTGGGACCTCTAGCCCCTTGTGCACCACCCAGACAAACCAGACTTCTGTGGTAAATGATTATTAAAACCAGAAATTGTATGTATTAACTTCCTCCAGTTCCATAAACCAGACACCCACCTGAGGTCAATATATACTTCAGGATCTTACCAAATAGCATGCTGCAGTCAATCTTTAGTAAACTAACTAAAGATTTTTTAATAAAAAAAAGAAGAGTTATAAATTATTAGTGAATCATATACATTGCAGATGATGGCAGAGTTTGCAGATCAGGAGAATAGCAGTGATGTTAAATCTGCTATCTTGCAGTAAGTCTCCCTGGATCACCCAAAAGATTGGAGGTCCTCAGTCCATGTTCAAAGCTTCCCTTTGTTAGAAATCATAGTCCAGAGATGTGGAGCAGGCAAGAGGCAAGGACATGATATCACAGTCTCCAATTTATACCCCCCAGTCCATGTACCTGGAAGGTTACTGGCACAAACATGGGAGTCAGGGATCACATGTTCTGTGTGCCCTGGCTGAGTCATGAGGCATCCATGGTCTACATATTCTCTGAGGCATAGGGAGGGGCCCTTCGGAAGAGTTGATTTTTCCTTAATGGTCCATCAACCATGGCTCGCTGGTCTTGATGTAAATCTGTCTTGTGGGTGTTACCCAGGAACACAATATGTTTGAGATATAGCAAAGATTCATAACTTCACATACAATGATAATACACGCATATAAACAGGGTAACATTGTTCAACAGATTACAACTTTTCCAATGACACCTTAAAAGGCGTGCTTTGCATAAGATTTATCACAATTGTGCAACAGTGTTGATACATCAGTGGTGATATGTAAACATGGTCATCTTCCTTTTAAAACAGCGTCACAATAATACTCTGCATAATGATGAACTACAAAAAGCATGCCTTTGAAGAAACAGAATTATGATAGTTAGATTACAACTATTTCTAAATTATTTTTGTTCTGCTGTGTTCCATTCTTAACCTTGAAGATGGACATAGAGAATTAATGAGAATTAATGTCATGCCCATGTTAAACCCTTCTGTTCCCACCTGCTGAGAGCAACCGAAAGTCAACAAGAGGTGCAACTTATTGTCATTGCTGCACTTCTTAACATATTGGGCTTTTCAGATGTGCCCCATCATATACTGTTTGCCCTTTGTCCCCCTCCCATTTCTAAAAACTGCCCGTACAAAAGTAGGAGGAAAAGGCAGCCTTGAACTCTGGAACAGCTTGCATCCTTCCACTGCGGTCTCTCCCCCTCCGTCACATCCCACCATCACTCCTTATAGGCAGCTAGGCAATGGTTTGAAGAGAAATGAATGGCCATGCTGTTTGTATAATTTGTTAAAGGTTGTGTGTGTGTGTGTGTGTCTGTGTATGCGTGTGTGTGTGTGTCTCTCTCGTAAGGCCTCTGTCAGGGATTTCCTTCCAGATTTCAGGGTTTCTCCTGAGTCAGAACTTCTCTAAGCTCTCTGGAGTAACCCAGCTGCTAGGGTGTTCTGCCAGGCTCGCATAACTATTGTTCTGCTTTTTATGTAGTATTTTAGTGCCGGGTAGGAACGTGGGCCAAAAAGCAGCTTGTGAATAATTTTAAACACTGTAAACTCGCTTTGGATTTTGGCAAGGGAAAAAGATGTGTTTTAGCAACGCAGGGATGCTGATTGTAATGGTTTCCTTCTCTAACTAAATCTCCTGTGGCCATTCCCTCAGGGTTACAGCAAAGCTTGACTGCAGTTTCTTTTCCGCCTTTTTTTTTTTTTTTACCAACAAAGAGACTTTTTTTTAATTTCAGTGCTAATTCTGGTTCTTTTCAAATGATTTACCACTGTGCGTTTATTATCATCATCTCATTAGAATTCCGTCCTCCAGTTGGGAATAGGCCTGGAAATTGCATGCCGTGTCAAACTGGTTTTGAAAGACTTTTCCAATCCAGTCGTGATGCTGAAAGGAAAGAGTATGGGGAGGAGGTGGAGGGCTGCAGTTTGGTTTGGTGTGGGGGGAGGGTGTTGTGTGTTTGTTTTTTTCGCTTTGAATAAATCACATATTTAACTCTCTCTCTCTCTCTCTCTCTCTCTCTCTCTCTCTCTCTCTCTCATTTTAATTTATCTTTTGCGGTCTGTGGATCCAGTGATCGGAAAATATAGTCAACTTCCAGACTCAGGTACTGTTTACAAATGTCTATGCAGTGTTTTTGAACTGCTTGCACTCTGAGTGGGTGTATCTGAAAGGCCAGAGTCGCTGAGGATACAGAGCCTGATTGCAGTAACTGCTAGTGTTCATGTGCAAGGTTGCTGTTGAGCTCAATGTCCTAGGACTCTTCTTGTAGAGCTAGCTGCTCGTTTTTACAGGTCCTGTTCAATGCACCTGTGGGTCTGATCAGTTGCAATATAAGGATTTTTTCTGTAGGCCTGTGGTAGAGATGAGAACATTTTATTTGTATCTTCCTCTATTGCAGCATCTGCACTGTCTCAACCACAGAACTGTACTAGGTCATGATTAATTCTGGTTGTCTCCATACGCCCACCAGATTTGGGTGGGAAATGTCCAGTGCCTGAAAAATTGTTTGGAGACATTTCTTGAGCTTTACCACTTTGTGATGGCTGTTGATAACAAAGTTGGAGATTGTCTGTCTGTTTACTGCTATTTTTTGGAAATATGTTATGACATTTTTATTTATGTTTTGGGTAGTTGGTACATGGCTTATTAAATATTGATTTAAATAAATGTTGGGGGAGGAGACTCAAACTTGCATCTAAGGCGAATGAGTGACTTAATATGGTATTCTTGTTTTATTTCTTGGGGACCATATAGTGATTGTGCTAAGCTCAATTTCCATGTGCATGTGTCTGTCTGACTGTCTAACAGGTATGAGTGACAGCGTCAAGGACAAATTCTCTACTGCATTTTCCATTGTGGGTATGTTTTCTTCGCATGCTGTTGGAAGTCTTAGTGTTTTCTTCTGTGCTGAAATCACACCAACAGTAATAAGGTAAGACCTCCAAACTTCCCACCTTGGGGTGGGGAACCAGTTCAGATGTCCTTACTTTATTAATCATTTATTGTGTAATGCATACTTTTATTTATGCAAGGTGAAATCTCTAATAATCTGATACTGTCCAACGGACTCTGGGATGTTCTGTAGTTTGAGCAGTCTCTTGGGAGCTACTTTGCATATAAATAAAGAGAGATTTATTTACATTGCTTCAGACAGTTTCACCCTTTCTCCCATCATGATAATTCAATATTTTAATTAACAACTTGGATGATGGAGTGAAGAGAGTGCTTTTAAAATTTGCGGATGACACCTAGCTGGGAGAAGTTGAAAGCACTTTGGGGGACAGGATTAGAATTCAAAAATATCTTGCTAAATTGGACAATTGGTCTGACATCAGTAAGATGAAATTCAATAAGATGAGTGCAAAGTACTTCACTTAGGAAGTAAAAATCAAACACACACATACAAAATGGGAATAACTGGCTAGCCAGTAGTATTGCAGAAAAGGATCTGGGGGTTCTCCGTGTCCACCAAGGGTAGGACAAGAAGTAATCATCTCTGTTTGCAGCAAGGAAGATTTAGGTTAGATATTAGGGAAAATTGTCTAATTATAAGGGTTGTTAAGTACTGGAATAGTTTACCAAGGGAGGCTGTGGAATCCCCATCATTGGAGGTTTTAAAGAACAGGTTAGACAAACAACTAGGTGTAGGCATATTTTATCCTGACTCAGCATGGGGCGATTGGCTAGATGACCTCTTGAAGTACCTTCCAGCCTTACTTTTCTATGATTCTTTAATTATGAACAATACTTTTTACATTAAGAATCACATTAGGCGTTGTAGCTATAATTTGGTTTGATCTCCAGTTCTTCCACTGTGTTGTGCTTCAGTTTTCTTGCGGGCTGTGAAATTATTGTGTGCATGCTAAAAAGTGAAGCCTGTGCTTATGCGCTTTGCTGAACCAGAGTATAACAATTAAATTATGCTGTTGCCACTTGGTTTAATAAAAAGTACCTCTCAGTATCCCCAGGGGTTTGTGAAAGTAGTAAACACATGCATGGATAGGAGGTGCCAACTTTTACTTTTCCCCGGGGGTGCTCCACTTCCTCTCTGTCTGAGGCCCCGCCCCCACTCTGCTCCTCCCCTCAAGGCGCCACCCCCACTCTGCCTCTTCCTGGCCCTGCCCTGCCCCCTCCCTGAGGCACCACCTTTGCTCTGCCTCTTCCTCCCCCTCTGCACCTCCCTCCCCCAGAGCCTCACCATCGCTCCACCTCTTCCCGCTCTCACTCCGCCCCCTCCCCGAGGCCCCCGCCCACCCGCTGCTTGCTGGTCTCTGCCCTCCCTCCACCCCATTCCGAGCTGCCGAACAGCTGTGGCTGGTGCGTGCTGAGCACCCACTATTTTTTTTTTCCATGGATGCTCCAGCGCCGGAGCACCCACGAGTAAGCGCCTGTGCATGCATGCATCTCAAGTCTGCACCCAGGCCATTGAGAGAGAAGTTTATGCTGGCCCTGTGTCTGTGTTCTAAAGGGGGAATAGGCACAAGCAGCCCTGCTTCCATCCAGTGAAAGCTGCATCCAAAATTCAGTGGCAGGTTGGTGAAGAAAAGAGGAGGGCAACCAGTGCAGCTAGCAGTGATAACAGCCCCAGAGGTGATGTCAGTGGAACTGCACCTTTCAAAGATGTATCATTTCCCTCTGCATTCATCCCCTCTCCTCCAGCGCGAGTGGTAGCATTATGCCTTTCAAAGGCCGTTCAGTGGTCTGCCTCTCCCCTCACCTCCCCAACACAGGCCTATCTTAAAGGAGTCAAATGTTTGCCCTAAATATGGCCTTTGATATCCTTGATAATAGTGAAAATGGGAAGGTAGGGTCTTTTCTGGGAATTTTCCCAGCCATTTCTTTGCAATATCAGTTTCCATTTCATTTATTCACTTCTTATAACAGCATAATCTCATGCACTGTACATAGACTGCATTTGTACGTTCTGGATAACAGTTGCAATAGTGCCAAAATGATTTAGGTGTTTTAGGTCCCATTGACTTTCAATTGGATTTAGGCTCTTTAAAAAGGGAAGGCGGGAAGGGGGGGGGTGTGGGTGGAGAAGAGAGAGAGAGAAAACTTTCCAAAGTGAAATGTCCTTACAATATTTTGTCATCTGTGTAGCAAAGGGTCAAACCTTTCCTTTTTTAATTCAGTGTTGTTTTTTCCAGCTGTGTGGCTTGAGGTACATATTTCACAGATGACCTCATTTTGGCAGGGGAAGCTATTAGTGGTAGAGAAGAGTGTGTAAGCTAGTTTGAATCATTACTAGCTTTTGCTTGCAAAGCAAAACTCACCTGAAGCAAAACTCACCTTTTGTTTGCTATCATAACTATGAAAGGGTTATTTTAGGACATCATTACAATAGGTTGTGTTCTCTAGTTAGTTTTTCCTAAGTTACAGATGAAAATGTTTGAACCTTAGTTATTTTTCTCACAAGAGATGATAAAGTGAAAAAGATTTTCTAGTTATTCATGAAATTAAAAATTTAAAGGGATACATCAACATGTAATCAAGTCCAGTTATTTTTTTTAAAGTTGTTTCAGGAACTGTGACCGTTTTTTTACTCTTTGCTGATTTTTATGGTTTTACAATAGATTTTTCTTTTTTTAAATTTTCTCCCTGTTATGTGAAAGAACTAAACAGAGAGGGAACTGACCAACTGAATGACTGCAGAACAAACAGCTAAATGTTGTCAAATGCACAAAGCAAACCAAAAATGTCCTTTTCCTCTAATCCCACACCAAAGGTTCTTAAGCAAAGTAAGCAGTCATGGGATAAGTGGAAAGGTCCTCTCAGAGATCAGTAACTGGTTAAAAGACAGGGAACAAAGGGTAGGAATAACTGGCCAGTTTTCACAGTGGAGAGAGGTAAATAGCAGGGTCCCCCAAGGATCTGTACTGGGACCTGTGCTGTTCACACCCTTTTCCAGATCATTTATAAATACATTGAACAGGGACGTGGCAAAATTGGCAGATGATACAAAATTACCCAAGAAAGTTAAACCCAAAGATGACTGTGAAAAGGGATCTCACAAAACTGTGTGACAGGGCAACAAAATGGCAGATTAAATTCAATGTTTATAAGTGCAAAGTAGCACACATTGGAAAACATAATCCCAACTACACATACAAAATGATGGGGTCAAAATTAGCTGTTACTACTCAAGAAACAAACCTTGGAATCATCATGGATAGTTCTCTGAAAACATCTGCTCAATGTGCAGTGTCAGTCAAAAAAGCGAACAAAATGTTAGGAACTAGTAGGGAAGGGATAGATAATAAAAGAGGGATGCAACTCTCATGCTCTGGTTTTGACTGCCAGAAGCTGGGACTGGACAGTTCTGTCCATTTCCTCTGACGCATCTGGCACTGGCCACTGTCCGGATGCTGGATGAACTGTTGCTCTGAGCCAGTATGACCGTTCTTATATTCTTAACACATTTCAGACAGAAGTGTGATTGCTAAGCTGATGATATGCCTTTGCTCTGGTGTCATGAAATAGGCATCTGGCCACTTCTCCCTCATGCCCTTTACAGGGCAATTGTCTTTATTAAATACCACCCATAATGCATTGCATTTTGGCAGAGCATCTTATTTTCAGGACTTGACCTATACTCAACTGATGCTCCAATCAGAGTCTTGTGGGAGGGCATAGTAAGGGAATTGAGGGAGTCACTGGGTTTTTCAAACTAATTCTTTATTCATATTTTGTTTGTGAGAAAAAATAGTATCAATATTAAGGTGCTTACAAGTAGGTTGGCTGTTGTGTGATTGCTACCATGACAATCAATAGCATTTGTCAGCACTTCTACACTGTTTTTAAAAAGCAAAAGGTCGTTTTTGAATAGCCCCAACATCAGGTTCCAAGAATTTATCTTTTCCTGCTAGAATCTACAATATATGTTCCAGAGACATAAAGACTCCCAGGAATAACACAAATATTTATTGTTGAGACCCTTATTACCCTGACATCTTAATGCTGGTCAGCCTTGATTTCACACTGCTAAGCACTAAAGCATCATTGAAGAGTTCTAATTCCTTGTGCCAAGGAGTTCATTAAAAAGCTCCTTTCAAACACTGAACTAAAGCACTAAATGAAGCTGAAAATCCTCCTCCAATAAGCATGATGACTGAGCCAGTGAGGGTTGTGCTACTTACCAAAGAGACCAAGATTTTAGAAAGAAGTTGATTGGGGAGACTGTTTTGTTTTTCTCCCTTCTTCCCCTCCCCCGCCAGTTTCTAAAAGATGGAGAACCGAACCTGTTGTTAGGCCCCTGGGGATAGGGAGTAACTATGTATTGCTAGGCCTTGGCATTGCTAATTTTTCTGTTAGTTTGTGTACTGCTTTCCCCTCCCTACTGATAGCAGCAGTGAAGAGAAAAGGTATGTGGGAAGAATAGTGGGGATTTTAGCCATGAGCCACTGTCCACCAATGGCTCTAACTTCCCAGTGGAGATTGCGAAGGTTAAAATCAAATAATCACATCAGGATTCTAAATCACAGCACTTCACACAGTGGAGTAAGACTGGGGCTCTAAGGCTCAACTGCAATATGAATAAATAATCTTTTCAATAATTGAAGGGGTTTTTTGTTCTCTGCCCCATTGTCACATCAGACCGCTTGCATTAGAAAGGGTCAAACACTTGAGAAAAACTAAGGTGGGATTAAAATTGCTCTTTTGTGCTTCTAAATATTATAGAGAGGTGCAAGCCATATTCCTGGGTTTAGTTTCACTTCAGTGAAGCATTTCTGAGATAATATTTTACTATTGTTATTTTAAACTCTTACTAGTAACGTGTTCTGGTGATGTTTAAAACTCTAGTAGACCAGGAAAAGTTCTAAATTATGAATAGGGAAACCTTTAAAGACTACAAATTTTGAAACAGGCTCTTTCAACATTTACACCATTGAAGATTACAAGAGCAGTTTTACAGTCTTATAAATGATCCTC